TCTTCGAAAAAAAATCGATCTTGTATTTTAGCAGTCTTCCTGTTGTAGTTCAACCCCTCCTGAAACCAAATTTTTACTATAAATACGTCACAAACTGTTTATTTTTTCAACCAATTGAATCACATAATTTTTTTAAAAATATGACGAATGAAATAACCTTTGGCATCCCGCATAGTCACATCAAAATTTTCATCAGACCATGAAACGTTTGTACAAATTTTTCATCTTTCTTGCAGTCTTGAAAACAAAATTTATATGCGGGTATGTAGAAAAAATATCAGAGTTCAATGTGGTATAATTTTTTATCATGTTTTATTTACGTATACGAAGTATTTTGCGTTCTGCCGAAGTGGTATATTCGTCAGTTGAGATATAGTTGCCAACCTTAGGTATAATCTATATATATCAACACTGCTTTTCAAATTGAGTGCTTGCGGCGCGCGCGACAAATGACAAAGGAATGGGTCGAGCTTAATGCAAATTGACATTTGGAAGCATTATTGGTGCATTCTACACGCCGTTTTGGGCTGCCTATGCTTGTAATGTGCGAAACGTTACGCAATAATTTTTTTTATATACCAAATGTTTTTTGAATATGCCTCTTTTACGAGTTATTTGCTGGGCAATAATATTTTTAACTAGATTTCGATTTCTGCCTGGTGTTTCTATTGCTGATACATTATCTATGTTCGTCAACGTTTATTCATAAATATGTTCGTTCACCGTCACGTGTGTATTGTATTTTTGCCAAATCCACCAATAGCAATTTCCAATTTACCCTATTGTTCTAGTTATGGATAGGTAGCTTTCCTAAAACATTGCTATGGGTTAGTTGGTGATGTCCTGAAGCAAAAATTTTTTTTGGCCACTATTTCTCCCAAAAATGTTGGCGAGCGGGGGGAGGTCGAAAAGATTTTTTCCGGACATTTAAAAAAGGGGCAAAAAAATTTTTTGCACAATTTCCTGTTACAATATGCATGAAACCCTTATTTTTTTACCAATATCTGTAAAATTTAGGTCTATAAATTCTATTCAATTCCCTCTGGAAGCCCTGGAGGCTACTTAATAACTCTACATTCTTTAGTTGAAAATCTTTCATTGCCCTGCCAATCCAGATGATTTGCCCTGCCAATCCAGATGATTTGTACTTTGGGGGGTGTCACAACCCCCCGCCCCCCACACACCTCCCCCCTCAAGTTTCGTCCCTGATTACCAGAGAGTCTAGGTTGGAAGATGTTGCATTAATAGAGGGTCTAGGTCGGAGGATGTTGCATTAACAGAGAGTCTAGATCGGAGGATGTTGCGGCGGTTAAAAGCGATGGAGTAGTTTGAAGCTATATAGCGTTTTTAGGCGAGCCGCTTTTTCGCTCGATCCTACAAGGTTAACTATATTTTTTTGCCACACATGTTTTCGTCCGTGCTCTTTTTCCACACGACACAAGCGACCCGTGTTAGAAAGACCGATTGCAATCTCACGCACACAGATAAGGCTCTTCCTTTTTACCTGGGAGTAAATATAGCCGGCCGGGATTTTTAATACCCTTGCCACCGGGCTTTGCCCTTACTTACACGCTCCTCGCTTTGGCTCAGAGATTAATGTTTGTATACCCTTAACCACTCATGTCAGTTTTTCCTCGAAATCGACCACCTTTGCACCAGGAAATGAAAATTAACAATTGATGAAACTGGGAGAAATTATTTTAAAATCGCTTTCTTAGAACCTCGAGAAATTTTCGAGAATGGATGATTCCAGCTACAGACGAAATTTTGTCTAGACAAGAGAAGAACGAAATCCATTACGAATAGATGGAAAGAGCATCTTAAAATGAGTAAAATTTTGCAAAGTTTGGCTGCGAATTGTGTTTGTAAAATGAGGAAAATGTAGCCCTGTGAAGTTCGCAAATTTTGTATATATTCACATTACGCGCGGGAAAAATAACCATTTTTAAGCCGAAAGTGGTTATACATTTAGCAACCAATCTTTGTAGGTTTACTCGTTCTAGCTGTGGTGTTGGATTTCATTCTTCTTGTGTTGATCAAAATTTAGTTCGTAGCTGGAATCACCCATATCATATTAAGTCAGGCGAACGGAAGTGGGAGACTGGGACGATGAGTATTTAGATGACTTTAAAAGGCACAGTTCAGCCTTTTAAAGTAAACTCAATGTTTTTAACCCAAAATCAGTAAACTCAATGTTTTTAACAATAAAAATGTTTTAAAATGTTAAAAACATTAAGTTTGTTGATCATGATTTATGCTTAATTGATTTTCCTAGTTAGTTTTTTCAATTAAAAGGGCTGAAATGCACCTTAAAAACCATTGTTCAAAAGGCTGAACTGTGCCTTTAAGAATACTGGCTACTCCTTTTATGAAAACAACCAAACCAAGTGCTTTATAAATGTTATGTTCTCAAGCGGTAAGATACGAAAATAATTTTGTGTAAGTTCTCATTGGCTCGTCCATTTCGCCACAGTTTGTATCCGATGTCCTCAATCCCCTCATGTCAATATCGTACGGTTACTCATAACGGAAAATATCAAACCTGAATTTATTGCTGTACATTTTCACCCGTGAAGAATTTTAATTGAACAACGTTTTTTCCCCTTAGAATTCATGAGGCCATCTGACATGATGAACCTGTTGTCACGAAGGTTGGTATATAAACAAGCGTGTTGGTATATGATTGGCTCAACCTCGTAACCAGATCTTGTATTCTTGTGGATGTTACAAGCGCGCAGAAGCCCTTGGTGTAAGATTGTTATTAGCTTGGCACGTGGCTTTTGCTTTTGTCGAATGTATTACATAATTATATAATTAATATATTAGAAATAACAAATTTTTGTGGATAATCCAAATTGATTTTGTTTCAAAGATTACTAAGTCAAATAGTTTATTGGCAAGAAGCAGAAAAGTTTCACAAACATTTCAAAACGTTTTACGAAGTGTTTGCGGTAGAACTTTACATTAAATCTACAGATCTTCCACGTTTCGAGCCAAGGCCCTTCGTCGGGAAGTTAGGGCCCCACGAACTGACGAAGGTCCTTCGTTCGAAACTTCGAGGTTCTCTTATATTGTTCCGCAGGTAATTGATTTCCTTCAGACAATATTTCTCTGTCGTCGTCTCAACCTACACGGGCACCGAGATAATCTACCTAGCTTACCTCATTATTTTGCTTTGGTGAGAGTTGCTGCATGCATGTGTTTCAAATCTAAATTACAATAAAGAAAACATCAGTGTTGTTATCTCACGGATGGCACTGATAACAGTAGTCCCTCGGGAGTCAAGTCTCGAGTCGAGTTATATGCTACATGCAGTAAAACCCCGCATATAAGAACCTAGATTTTTCCAAGTTAGCCTAAACAGGTACGTTGTTGTGTACATCGTGCTTACCAGGCTTGTTAACAAGTTCTAGCAAGCTTGTTAACAAACTTGTCAATAAGATGTGTTCTCAACAGGCTTGTAGCAAGTTTGTTAGCAAGTTGTTACAAGCTTGTTAACAAGTTGTAAGAATGCTGTTCCAACAACTTGTCAACAAGGATATATTGGCAATCGGTTTGTAGCAAGCTTGTTAAGAAGTTGTGACAATGCTGTTCCAACAACTTGTCAACACGAGATACTGGGAATGGGTTTGTAGCAAGCTTGTTAACAAGTTGTGACACTGCTGTACCAACAACTTGTCAAGAAGATGTGTCCTCAACAGGCTTGTAGCAAGCTTGTTAACAAGTTCTAGCAAGCTTGTTAACAAGTTGTAACAATTCTGTTGCAACAACTTGTCAATAAGATGTGTTCTCAACAGGCTTCTAGCAAGCTTGTTAACAAGTAGTTACAAGCTTGTTAGCAAGTTGTGACAATGCTGTTCCAACAACTTGTCAACAAAATATATTGGCAATCGGTTCGTAGCAAGGTTGTCAAACAAGTTGTAACAATGCTGTTCCAACAACTTGTCAACAAGATATTTGGCAATCGGTTGTAGCGAGCTTGTTAGCAAGTTGTGACAATGCTGTTACAACACACTTGTCAACAAGATAAATTTTCAATGGGTTTGAAGCAAGCTTTTTAACAAGTTGTGACAATGCTATTCCAACAACTTGTCAACAAGATTTACTGGCGAAGAGGTTGTAGCAAGCTTGTTAACGAGTTGGGACAATGCTGTTCCTACAACTTCTGAACAAGATGTGCCTTCAGCTGGCTTATAACAAACAACATACTTGCAGGGAGATGAGTCCGGGATTCGACGCACCGAGGTTGGCTGGAAGTTTCCCGAACTTACCGAGGTGAGTTCGGGAAACGTCCAGCCACCCGAGGTACGTCCAATCCCGGACTCACCGAACCTGCAAATACGTTTGGTTTTTATCCCATACACCGCAGTCATACACACATTGTAGCTATCAGGCCAAAGAAATCACTGGGCTATTGATAACTTCTTTATCTACGTCTAGATTACCTTGATTGCATTTTTTCTATGGTTTTTGTCAGTCCCAGTAGGTTTAGTAAGCGAAAAAGGTTCTTTAAAGTCTAGGTTTATCGGCTAAATAATCTTGTCCGCCATATTTGTTATTGTTATAGCAACGTGAGCAGTTTCGTGGGTGAGTTCAACGAAAAGCAGGTGAGTTCGGACAAAGAGCAGGTGAGCTCGACGAGAAGCTCACCTGCTCTAAACAAATCAGAAAGCCGCTTTTAACACAGGTATGGATAATGTAGCAAGCTTGTTAACTAGTTGTGACAATGCTGTTCCAACAACTTGTCAACAAGTTGTGCCCTCACCTTCCTTGTAGCAAGTTTGTTAACGAGTTGTAACAATGCTATTCCAACAACTTTGTCAACATGATGTGTTCTCAACAGGCTTGTAGCAAGCTTGTTAACAAGTTGTAACAATGCTGTTCCAACAACTCCTCAACAAGATGTGCCCTCAGCATGCTTGTAGCAAGTAAGGAGGATATTTAATTAAATCATTCTATAAAAAAGAAAGATGCAACAAATCTTAGAAGATCATGGCAACATGGATGGATACTCTACTATAATTCTACTACTTACGATAACCCGTTGTTTATTTAAGTCGTCCGCAAAGGATTTGGGCTCTGGAAAATTGAGATTTTGATCTCTGTAGTGCTTAGCTGCATAGTCATCGATGCACGAGATCCATTGTGAAAAGTTATCCATTATAGTAATTTTTTTGAAACAACAAAGTGCAACGACAATAGTTTACAAAAAAAAAAAACTCGAGAGGCCGGGCATTGGCGAAATGAAGTGATCTTTCAACTTCCTGATTGATGTGCCCGTCCTGCCATTATAAGGACACTTTGGCATCCTCCTTCCTTTTGCTTTGTTACGTTCACAGAGTTATTCGGAGACAAATCGACCAGTAGCCTTATATAAGTCGTTCGCACCAAGCATCTTGCTTTTAAACGAGCCGCTTGTTCGTTCGCTGGTACAAGTAAGTTTTTTTGCCACACGTCTTTCATCGTGCTCTTTTCCACACCGCACAAGCGACCTGTGTTAGAAAGACCGATTGTATCGCACGCGCGCAGATAGTCAAGCAGCACTAAGCGCCACACTATACATCCTTCTCATCTTGCTTAGAAACCTTGTCCAAGGGACATGATACACAACATTTGATGAAACCGAGAATTTTTTAAAAAACCTCACAAAGTCCCCTTAAACCTATTCGCCCACAATGGTTGGAGAAAGGAAGCATCAAACTTCTCGTTCGTGAAAAGAAACTGAGCCAACCCTTCCGCTACCAAAAAGGGTTACTCGCTCGTACTCAAGTTTATGAAGCCAACATTCCACATATATAGCTTCAAACTACTCCATCGCTTTAACCGCAGCAACACCATCCGATCTAGACTCGCTGTTAATGCAACATCCTCCGACATAGACTCTCTTGTAATGCAACATCCTCTGACTCAGCCGTACGAAGTCTCGAGTGGGTCAGGAGGATGTTTCGTTGTTTGGAGTTGAAAAGGAGTGTAGTCGTACCAATTCATACTTAATAAGGTCTTTACGGCGGGGTGCACGTGTCGTGTATTCCCTCGCATAACTAATAAGTAAGGCGAATGTACAAATCACTCTGTAAAAAAGAAAGATGCAACAAAAATCGTGGAACAAGGGCTTAATTCCAGCAGTCCGTAGCAACAAGGCTACTCTACTCCTGACAATGCCCCGTTCTTTATTTAAGTTGTCTGCAAAGGATTTAGCTCTGGAAAATTTAGATTTTTATCGCTGTTGTCTTGCAGCCAGCTGTATTCGTCATCGATGCGCGAGACAGGAGATCCATCGTTACAAATTATCCATCACAGTACCTTTTTTTGGAAAAAACAAAGTTAAACGACAATAGTTTATCAAAACGAAACTCGAGAGGCCATGCAATAGCGAAATGAAGTGATATTTCAACTTCCTGATCGATGTGCCCTTCCACCCATTTAAGGACGCCGTGGCATCCACCTCCCTTTTTGGTTTGTTGCGTTCACAGAGTTATTCGGTGACAAGCATATGACACCAACAGGATCAACCAGTTAACTACAAGTCGTTCGCACCAAGCGTCTAGCTTTTAGACGGCTCGCTTATTCGTCTGATTGTACAAGTAACTATAATTTTTTGCCACGTCTTTCATCGTGGTCTTTTTCCACACAACACAACGGACCCGTGTTGGAAAGGCCGATTGTATCGCACGCAATTTACTTATAGAACCTTGTCCACGGGACATGATACACAACACTCGATGAAACCGAGATTTTTTTAAAAACCTCACGAAGGCCCCTTAAAAACCTATTCGCCCAATGGTGGCAAGGGAAGCATCAAACTTCTCGTTCATGAAAATAAACTGAGCCAACCCTTCCCCCGCCATGTTGAGCAAAAAGCGTTACTAACTCGTACTCAACTTTATGTAGCCAACGTTCCACATGTATAGCTTCAAACTACTACATCGCTTTAGCCCCCGCAACATCTTCCTGCCAGTCTTAGTATTACAGTGGAAATCAATCAGAAAAAGCTCGATTATATAATAATTACACTTCAGGTAAATCTTAAACATTGAACTCCAAATTTCGGGTAAAATCTTCCGAACCCCCCCCAACGTCAGATGCTTCGGTACGTCTCTGGTGGCAACAAGGCTACTGTTTACAAAACCACGGTCTTTATTTAAGTCGTCCGCAAAGGATTTCGCTCTGCGAAATTTGGATTTTGGTCGTTGACGTGCTTAGTTGCATAGTATGCTCTATGGGCATGGTGCAGGTGACACAGGAGGCACGACGAGTTGCGCCACTATTCTTGTCTTCCCAATTTAAAGTTTGAGAATAGGTTAAGGTCATTTCTACCCTATAAGATATCTTATCATTCGCTTTCCTGATAAAACTGCATGTATTAACTCCAGCAATCTTGAGTGAAACGTCGGAGGTAGCCAGGTACTAGATGGTTCGATTAGTCTTTCGCCGCTATGCACCTAAGCATTACAGCGATCAAAATGTTCCAGAGCTAAATCCTTTGCAGACGAGTCCCAGAGCTAAATTCTTTGGGCCTTAAGTAATAAGTAAGGAGGATGTTCAAATCATTCTGTAAAAAAGAAAGATGCAACAAATCTTAGAACACGGGCTTAATCTCAGTAGATCGTAGCAACAAGGCTACTCTACTGCTTACAATAGTAAGCAGTAGAGTAGCCTTGTTGCTACGATGTACTGAGATTAAGCCCGTGTTCGAAGATTTGTTGCATCTTTCTTTTGTACAGAATGATTTGAACATCCTCCTTACTTATTACTTAAGGCCCACACACACCAGACGCGATTGGACAACGCAACGCGAATTTGCAGCTTTTAAAAACAAATAAAACCGTCAACAGATAAAAATTTTACAAGATATGCAGACCAAATAGCTAAAATTGCTTAAGAAATTCCCGTCGCGTTGCCAAATCGCGTCCGGTCTGTATGGGCCTTTACACGAGGGAATACATTTGTACCGCGCCGTAAATACCTTGTTACACTGACCTGAAAGGTCAAGTGTCTTAAATCCTTAATTTTCTGTTTTCTTCTGTTTTCTTCTTCGTCGAGAAATCGAGTTTGCGTTCGCACATCGCAGGCTCAGGATGCAACGATTAAGCCAAAATGCCATCGATTCTTCGATTTATATACGATAGTAACAAGCTCGTATTTATGTACGTATTAGCTGGCTCATGCCATGCTTGTGGTACATTTTTCATTTATTAGCCCATATATAAACTTGTACGCACGCGCACAATTCCGAACTCCAAGTGTGACATATTCAGTCCAGTCTCAAAATGGCGGCTTTTGGCTGAGTGATCAAAATATATTTCACACCGTTTCGTTGAATTTTCAAAGAGTTGTGCCGGTTTCCTATGGAAAATTAATGTTGAATTAATGTTTTTCTTTTGGTATTAAACGACTCGAAAACTCCAAAATTTGGAATTCGTGTAGCGCTGGGTGCGCAAATTCTAGTACTGCGCGAAATATAATCCGCGCGAAAAGCTTTGTGGTAGCTAGCGCTACAGTAAAGGTAAAGCGTTGCGTTCAAAATACCAACAAGGACTAAAACATTTATTGTATGGTTCTCATTTGCTTAATACAATAACATTAGTTCGGCGAAAATTTTAATACAAGTAAGGTATGGTATCATATTTCATAATATAAGGAACAATGTAAACTAGTCATACATTTCGCCGAATAGATGGACTTCGGCCCCTTTGGACATATCTTTTTCGTAACAGTATTATTGGAACCAGAATCCAAAACACTATTTATACTGTTATTTTCAAGCTTATGTCTTCAGTCTTCTTTTAATTATTTCGTGTGTCTTCTCTTATTTCGGTATTTACAGAACATTTATATTTTTAGCTCGGCCCATGAAACGTGCATCAAAACAATGCGCTGTTTAATTAAATCATAGGGGTCTGAAAAACCGGAAATCGATTCTGTATGTCAAATTACTCCCAGTGGCAAGGTTTGCACGTGCATCGATCGGGCTATAAAATATGGCCAAGCATCAACGTGGCGCGTGCGTGCGAGTAAAAACCCGATATTTTGAAAAATTCAAAATAAATATTTCTACTCTGTGCCGTATTCAAACAAAACTTTGTACATGAAAGCGCTTGAATACAAGACGTATTTTATTCACATTGACTCTCAACAAATTCTGAAGAGTTTAGAAGATATTCAAGTTTTTTTCTCGATATGAAATACAGAATGTTTGGCCAAGCGGTGAGTAAATATATGATTGTTTTGGTTTGTGTAATGTTTTGACGGCATTTGACCCCCCGCAGGATTACAATGGTGCTTTTCGTTTTAAGGAGGGAGGTAAATGCTCGCTGAGATATTTACAATTAGAAACAATAAAAATGTAAATTTAAATTGGGGCGTGACGCGAAATTAACCCATTTACAGGCAGTACTTTACTGGCAGTGCAATTGTCTTTTCAGTAAATACTAAAGTAGACCATTTACTGACAGTACTCTACCACTGACAAGTAAAATCGTCTGGCGGTTTACCACTTGTATTCTTGTCTATTGCACCATAGCACGTATGTCGTCATTTTCAGGTCAGTGTGAACGCCTGAGCAGGCGTCTTGTTATGTATGATTTGTACGAATGTACTCCTTTTCAACTCGAAACAACCAAACATCCTCCTTACTCACTCAAGACTTGGAACGGCCATAGTTAATAGGATAGATGGTTTGGAAACTCATTAGAATTGTCGCTTGTAATGTGCGAAACGTTACTCAATAATTTTTTTTTTATATATCAAATGTTTTTTGAATATGCCTCTTTTACGAGTTATTTGCTGGGCAATAATATTTTTAACTAAAATTCGATTTCCGCCTGGTGTTTCTATTGCTGATACATTATCTATGTTCGTCAACGTTTATTCATAAATATGTTCGTTCACCGTCACGTGTGTATTGTATTTTTGCCAAATCCACCAATAGCAATTTCCAATTTATACCCTATTGTTCTAGTTATGGATAGGTAGCTTTCCTAAAACATTGCTATGGGTTAGTTGGTCATGTCCTGCAGCAAAAAATATTTTTTGGCCACTATTTCTCCCAAACATGTTGGCGAGCGGGGGGAGGTCGAAAAGATTTTTTCCGGACATTTAAAAAAGGAGCGAAAAAATCGTTCCGGATATAAACCAATTAATTAAATTCACGGTCAAAAAATTTATTTCGCACAAATTCCTGTTAAAACATGCACGAAACCCTTATTGTTTTACCAATATCTGTAAAATTTAGGTCTATAAATTCTATTCAATTCCCTCTGGAAGCCCTGGAAGCTACTTAATAACTCTACATTCTATCATTTAAAATCTTTCATTGCCCTGCCAATCCAGATGATTTGCCCTGCCAATCCAGATGATTTGTACTTTGGGGGGGTGTCACATCCCCCCCCCACACCTCCCCTCCTCAAGTTTCGTCCCTGATTACCAGAGAGTCTAGGTTGGAAGATGTTGCATTAACAGAGGGTCTAGGTCGCAGGATGTTGCATTAACAGAGAGTCTAGATCGGAGGATGTTGCGGCGGTTAAAAGCGATGGAGTAGTTTGAAGCTATACAGCGTTTTTAGGCGAGCCGTTTTTTCGCTCGATCGTACAAGGTTAACTATAATTTTTTGCCACACATGTTTTCGTCCGTACTCTTTTTCCAAACGGCACAAGCGACCCGTGTTAGAAAGACCGATTGTAATCTCACGCACACAGATAAGGCTCTTCCTTTTTACCCGGGAGTAAATATAGCCGGCCGGGATTTTTAATACCCTTGCCACCGAGCTTTGCCCTTACTTACACGCTCCCCGCTTTGGCTCAGAGATTAATGTTTGTATACCCTTAACCACTCATGTCAGTTTTTCCTCGTAATCGACCACCTTTGCACCAGGAAATAAAAATTAACAAATTGATGAAACTGGGAGAAAATTATTTTTAAATCGCTTTCTTAGAACCTCGAGAAATTTTCGAGAATGCATGATTCCAGCTACAGACGAAATTTTGTCTAGACAAGAGAAGAACGAAATCCATTACGAATAGATGGAAAGAGCATCTTAAAATGAGTAAAATTTTGCAAAGTTTGGCTGCGAATTGTGTTTGTAAAATGAGGAAAATGTAGCCCTGTGAAGTTCACAAATTTTGTATATATAATTTTGTACATTACGCGCGGGAAAAATAACCATTTTTAAGCCGAAAGTGGTTATACATTTAGCAACCAATCTTTGTAGGTTTACTCGTTCTAGCTGTGGTGTTGGATTTCATTCTTCTTGTGTTGATCAAAATTTAGTTCGTAGCTGGAATCACCCATATCATATTAAGTCAAGCGAACGGAAGTGGGAGACTGGGACGATGAGTATTTAAATGACTTTAAAAGGCACAGTTCAGCCTTTTGAATGAAGGTTTTTAAGGCGAATTTCAGCACTTTTAATTGAAAAACTAACTATAGGAAAATCAATTATGCATCATTCAAAATCAGTAAACTCGATGTTTTTAACAATAAAAATGTTTTAAAATGTTAAAAACATTAAGTTTGTTGATCATGAATTATGCTTAATTGATTTTTCTAGTTAGCTTTTTTCAATTAAAAGGGCTGAAATGCACCTTAAAAACCATCGTTCAAAAGGCTGAACTGTGCCTTTAAGAATACTGGCTACTCTTTTTATGAAAACAACCAAACCAAGTGCTTTATAAATGTTATGTTCTCAAGCGGTAAGATACGAAAATAATTATGTGTAAGTTCTTATTGGCTCGTTCATTTTGTTACAGTTTGTATCCGATGTCTTCAATTTCCTCATGTCAATATCGTACGGTTGCTCATAACGGAAAATATCAAACCTGAATTTATTGCTGAACATTTTCACCAGTGAAGAATATTAATTGAACAACGTTTTTTCCCCTTACAATTCATGAGGCCATCTGACATGACGAACCTGGTGTCACGAAGGTTGGTATATAAACAAGCGTGTTGGTATATGATTGGCTCAACTTCGTAACCAGAGCTTGTATTCTTGTGGATGTTACAAGCGCGCAGAAGCCCTTGGTGTAAGATTGTTATTAGCTTGGCACGTGGCTTTTGCTTTTGTCGAATATATTGCATAATTATAATTAATATATTAGAAATAACAAATTTTTGGGGATAATCCAAATTGATTTTGTTTCAAAGATTACTAAGTCAAATAGTTTATTGGCAAGAAGCAGAAAAGTTTCACAAACATTTCAAAACATTTTACGAAGTGTTTGCGTTAGAACTTTACATTAAATCTACAGATCTTCCACGTTTCGAGCCAAGGCCCTTCGTCGGGAAGTTAGGGCCCCACGAACTGACGAAGGTCCTTCGTTCGAAACTTCGAGGTTCTCTTATATTGTTCCGCAGGTAATTGTATTTCCTTCACACAATATTTCTCTGTCCTCGTCTCAACCTACACGGGCACCGAGATAATCTACCTAGCTTACCTCATTATTTTGCTTTGGTGAGAGTTGCTGCATGCATGTGTTTCAAATCTAAATTACAATAAAGAAAATATCAGTGTTGTTATCTCACGGATGGCACTGATAACAGTAGTCCCTCGGGGGTCAAGTCTCGAGTCGAGTTATAAGCTACATGCAGTAAAACCCCGCATATAAGAACCTAGATTTTTCCAAGTTAGGCTAAACAGGTTCTTGTGTACATCGTGCTTACCAGGAAATTGAGCTAAATTGAGTCAATAAGGATATATTGGCAATGGGTTTGTAGCAAGCTTCTTAAGATGTTGTGACAATGCTGTTCCAACAACTTGTCAACATTATATACTTGGAATGGGTTTGTAGCAAGCTTGTTAACAAGTTGTGACACTGCTGTATCAACAACTTGTCAAGAAGATGTGTCCTCAACAGGCTTGTAGCAAGTTTGTTAACAAGTTCTAGCAAGCTTGTTAACAAGTTGTAACAATGCTGTTGCAACAACTTGTCAATAAGATGTGTAGCAAGCTTGTTAACAAGTTGTTACACGCTTGTTAACAAGTTGTAACAATGCTGTTTGAACAACTTGTCAACAAGACATATTGGCAATCGACAAGATGTCTCCTCAACGGGCCTGTACCAAGCTTGTTAACAAGTTGTGACAATGCTGTTCCAACCATGTGTCAACAAGATGTGTCGTCAACAGGCTTGTAGCAAGCTTGTAACAAGTTGTTACAAGCTTGTTTACAAGTTGCAACAATGCTATTCCAACAACTTGTCACCAAGATGTGTTCTCAACAAGCTTGTGGCAAGCTTGTTAACAAGTTATAGCAAGCTTGTTAACAAGTTGTAAACATGCTATTGCAACAACTTGTCAACAAGATGTGTTTTCAACAAGCTTTGCAGCAAACTTGTTAACAAGTTGTGACAATGCTGTTCCAACAACTTGTGAATAAGGTGTGTTTCGAATAGGTTTGTAACAAATTTATTAACAAGTTGTGACAATGCTGTTCCAACAAGTTGGGAAGATGTCTCCTCAACAAGCTTGTAGCAAGCTTCTTAACAAGTTGTGACAATGCTGTTCCAACAACTTGTCAAAAAGACGTGTTTGCAGTAGGTTTCTAGCAAGCTTGTTAACAAGTTGTGACAATGCTTTCCCGACAAGTAGGGAAGATGTCTCCTCAACAGGCTTGTAGGAAGCTTGTTAACAAGTTGTGACAATTCTGTTCCAACAACTTGTCAACAAGATATATTGGCAATGGTTTTGTAGCAAGCTTGTTAAGAAGTTGTAACAATGCTGTTCCAACAACTTGTCAACAAGGTGTGTCCTCAACAGGCTTGTAGCAAGCTTGTTAACACGTTGTAACAATGCTGTTCCAACAACTTGTCAACAAGATATATTGGCAATCGGTTTGTAGCAAGCTTGTTAGCAAGTTGTGACAATGCTGTTCCAACAACTTGTCAACAAGATATATTGGCAATCGGTTCGTAGCAAGTTTGTTAAACAAGTTGTAACAATGCTGTTCCAACAACTTGTCAACAAGATATTTGGCAATCGGTTTGTAGCAAGCTTGTTAGCAAGTTGTGACAATGCTGTTCCAACAACTTGTCAACAAGATATATTGGCAATCGGTTCGTAGCAAGTTTGTTAAACAAGTTGTAACAATGCTGTTCCAACAACTTGTCAACAAGATATATTGGCAATCGGTTTGTAGCAAGCTTGTTAGCAAGTTGTGACAATGCTGTTCCAACAACTTGTCAACAAGATATATTGGCAATCGGTTCGTAGCAAGTTTGTTAAACAAGTTGTAACAATGCTGTTCCAACAACTTGTCAACAAGATATTTGGCAATCGGTTTGTAGCAAGCTTGTTAGCAAGTTGTAACAATGCTGTTCCAACAACTTGTCAACAAGATATTTGGCAATCGGTTGTAGCGAGCTTGTTAGCAAGTTGTGACAATGCTGTTACAACACACTTGTCAACAAGATGTCCCCTCAACAGCCTTTTAGCGAGCTTCTTAACATGTTGTGACAATGCTGTTCGAACAATTTGTCAACAAGATAAATTTTCAATGGGGTTTGAAGCAAGCTTTTTAACAAGTTGTGACAATGCTATTCCAACAACTTGTCAACAAGATATACTGGCGAAGGACTTGTAGCAAGCTTGTTAACGAGTTGGGACAATGCTGTTCCAACAACTGCTCAACAAGATGTGCCCTCAGCGCCATTATAACAAACATACTTGCAGGGAGGTGAGTCCGGGATTCAACGCGCCGAGGTTGGCTGGAAGTTTCCCGAACTTACCGAGGTGAGTTCGGGAAACGTCCAGCCACCCGAGGTTCCTCCAATCCCGGACTCACCGAATCTGCAAGTATGTTTGGTTTTTATCCCATACACCGGAGCCATACACACATTGTAGCTTCTTCGCAATATATTCGTCGATGTTTTGTCAACATTTTCCCGGCCAAAGAAATCACTGGACTATTAATACTTCTTTACCTACGTCTAGATTAACTTGATTGTATTTTTTCTTTGGCTTTTCTTCAGTCCCAGTAGGTTTAGTAAGCGAATAAAGTTCTTTAAATATTTCTAGGTTTATCGGCTAAATAATCTTGTCCGCCATATTTGTTATTGTTAGTGCAACGTGGGCAGTTCCGTGGGTGAGTTCAACGAAAAGTAGGTGAGTTCGGACAAAAACAGGTGAGTTCGACGAGAAGCTCACCTGCTCTAAACAAATCAGAAAGCCGCTTTTAACACAGGTATGGATAATGTAGCAAGCTTGTTAACGAGTTGTGACAATGCTATTCCAACAACTTTGTCAACATGATGTGTTCTCAACAGGCTTGTAGCAAGCTTGTTAACAAGTTGTAACAATGCTGTTCCAACAACTCCTCAACAAGATGTGCCCTCAGCATGCTTGTAGCAAGTAAAGAGGATTTTTAATTAAATCATTCGATAAAAAAGAAAGATTCAACAAATCTTAGAACAAGGGCTTAATCTCAGCAGATCATAGCAACATGGATACTCTACTATAATTCTACTACTTACGATACCCGTTGTTTATTTTAAAAGTCGTCCGAAAAGGATTTGGGCTCTGGAAATTTAGATTTTGATCTCTGTAGTGCTTAGCTGCATAGTCATCGATGCACGAGACAAGAGATCCATTGTAAAAAGTTATCCATTATCGTAATTTTTTTGAAACAACAAAGTTAAACGACAATAGTTTACAAAAAAAGAAACTCGAGAGGCCGGGGCATTGGCGAAATGAAGTGATCTTTCAACTTCCTGATTGACGTGCCCGTCCTCCTCCCATTATAAGGACACTTTGGCATCCTCCTTCCTTTTGGTTTGTTACGTTCACAGAGTTATTCAGAGACAAATCAACCAGTAACCTTATAAGTCGTTCGCACCAAGGATCTTGCTTTTAAACGAGCCGCTTGTTCGTTCGCTCGTACGAGTAACCATAATTTTTTTTTCCACACGTCTTTCATCGTGCTTTTTCCACACCGCACAAGCGACCTGTGTTAGAAAGGCCGATTGTATCGTACGCGCGCAGATAGTCGAGTAGCACTAAGCGCCACACTATATATTCTTCTCATCTTGCTTAGAGAACCTTTGTCCAAGGGATCAGCAGATCATAGCAACATGGATACTCCACTATTCTACTACTTACGATACCTCGTTCTTTATTTATGTCGTCCGCAAAGGATTTATAAGCTCTGGAAAATTTAGATTTTGATCGCTGTAGTGCTTAGGTGCATAGTCTGCTCCATGGGCACCTTAGTGACACAAAAGGAGGCACGACGAGTCGCATCACTATTCTCGTTCGCGCAGTGGTCCAGAGAAAGGAATCTTTGCGTTCTAGCACGAATTCTGATTTAGAGGCGTTCAATCGTAATCCAACAGATGTTAGCTGAATTCTGTAATTCACACTACGGTCACTACCTATTATTGCAGCTGGCTGCGTTCGTCATCAACGCACGAGACAAGAGATCCATTGTTAAAAGTTATCCCTTATAGTAATTTTTTTGAAACAACAAATTTAAACGACAATAGTTTACAAAAAAAGAAACTCGAGAGGAGCCGTTTGTTCGTTTGATCGTACAAATAACTATAATTTTTTTGCAACGTCTTTCATCGTGCTGTTTTTCCACACAGCAGAAGCGACCCGTGTTGGAGTGGCCGATTGTATCGAGTGGCACTAAGCACCCCACTATACATTCCTCACATCCTGCTTAGAACCTTGCCCAAGGGACATGATACACAACATTCCATGAAACACTTTCGGTTATGTCCACACTTTTTAAAAACCTAACAAAGCCTCCTTAAAACCTATTTGCCCAATGGTGGCAAAGGAAGCATCAAACTTCTCGTTCGTGAAAAGAAACTGAGCCAATCATTCCCCACCACGTCGAGCTAAAAGCGTTGCTAACTCTTACTCAAGTGTATAAAGCGACGTTCCACATCCATAGCTTCAAACCACTCCATCGCAACCGGCGCAACATCCTGCGACCTAGACTCTGTTAATGCAACATCTTCCGACCTAGCCTCTCTGGTAAGGCAGCATCCTCCGACCCATCAGCAGTATCAAGTCTCGAGTGAGTGAGGAGAATGTTTGGTTGTTTGAGGAGGATGTTTTTCGAAACACGTGTATGCCGTCGCATAAGTAAGGAGGATGTACAAATCACTCTGTAAAAAAGAAAGGTGCAACAAATCTTAGAACAAGGGCTTAATTTGAGCAGATGGTAGCAACAAGGCTACTTCTACTGCTTACAATACCCCGCTCTGTATTTAGGTGCATGTTCTGCATAGCATAGTGCTTAGGTGCATGCTCTGCTCCATGGGCACGTTGTAAAACAGGAGGCACGCGCCACTATTCTTGTTCTCCGTAAGGCGTCTACAGAAAGGAGTCATTGCGTTCTAGGACGAATTCTGATTTAGAGGCGTTCAATCATAATCAACAGATGGTAGGTAAATCCTATAATTCACACTACATTTTGCAGCTGACTGCGTTCCTCGATGCACGAGATCCACCGTTTCCCATATATTTAACCTTTGCTGTACAATGCATTTGCCACCAGAGCAAACGCGTTTCGAAAATGGGGGGGGGGGGTTGAAGTTGTAAAAAAGTAAGTTTTCCATTATAGTAACTTTTTTGAAACAACAAAGTTAAACGACAATAGCTAACAAAAAACAGAATTCGAGAGGCCAAGCAATGGCGAAATGAAGTGGATCTTTCAACGTCCTAGCTGATTGATGTGCCCGTCCACCCATTTAAGGGCACTGTGCATGTATCCTCCTCCCTTTTGGTTTGTTACGTTCACAGAGTTATTTGGTGACAAGCTTATGGTACTGGCAGTATCAACCAGTTAACTATAAGTCGTTCGCACCAAGCATCTAGCTTTTAGATGAGCCAACTTTAGTCGTTTGATCGTACAAATAACTATAATTTTTGGCCGCGTCTTTCATCGTGCTGTTTTTCCACGCGGCACAAGCGACCCGTGTTGGAAAGGCCGATTGTATCCTGTAGCAATAGGTACCCCCACCTTACATTCCTCACATCTTGCTTAGAACCTTGTCCAAGGGATATGGTACACAACATTCCACGAAACCGAGATTTTTTAAAAAAAACCTAACAAAGCCCCCTTAAAACCTATATGTCCAATGGTGGCAAAGGAAACATCAAACTTCTCGTTCGTGAAAAGAAACTGAGCCATCATTCCACCACCACGTCGAGCTAAAAGCGTTGCTAACTCTTACTCAAGTTCATAAAGCGACGTTCCACATACGTAGCTTCAAACTACTCCATCGCCTTAACCGGCGCGACATCCTGCGACCTAGACTCTCTGTTAATGCAACATCCTCCGACCTAGACTCTCTGGTAATGCAACATCCTCCGACCAAGCCGTATCAAGTCTCGAGTGAGTGAGTAAGGAGGATGTTTGGTTGTTTGGAGTTGAAAAGGAGTACAGTCGTACAATTCATACTTAACAAGGTCTTTACGGCCGGCTACACGTGTATTCCCTCGCATAACTAATAAGTAAGGAGGATGTTCAAATCATTCTAAAAAAAAAAGAAAGATGCAACAAATCTTAGTACAAGGGCTTAATTTCAGCAGATCGTAGCAACATGGATACTTTACTATTCTACTACTTACGATACCCAGTAATCTGCAAGTATGTATGGTTTTTATCCCATACACCAGAGCCATACACACATTGTAGCTCTTCGCAATATATTCGTCGATGTTTTGTCAACATTTTCCCGGCCAAAGAAATCACTGGACTATTAATACGTCTTTATCTACGTCTAGATTACCTTGATGCATTTTTTCTTTGGTTTTTCTTCAGTCCCAATAGGTTTAGTAAGCGAAAAAAGTTCTTTAAAGTCTAGGTTTATCGGCTAAATAATCTTGTCCGCCATATTTGTTATTGTTATTGCAACGTGAGCAGTTTCGTGGGTGAGTTCAACGAAAAGCAGGTGAGTTCGGACAAAAAGCAGGTGAGCTCGACGAGACGCTCACCTGCTCTAAACAAATCAGAAAGCCGCTTTTAACACAAGTATGGATAATGTAGCAAGCTTGTTAACGAGTTGTGACAATGCTATTCCAACAACTTTGTCAACATGATGTGTTCTCAACAGGCTTGTAGCAAGCTTGTTAACAAGTTGTAACAATGCTGTTCCAACAACTTCTCAAAAAGATGTGCCCTCAGCATGCTTGTAGCAAGTAAGGAGGATGTTTAATTAAATCATTCTATAAAAAAGAAAGATGCAACATATCTTAGAACAACGGCTTAATCTCAGCAGATCATAGCAACATGGATACTCTACTACTTACGATAACCCGTTGTTTATTTAAGTCGTCCGCAATGGATTTGGGCTCTGGAAAATTTAGATTTTGATCTCTGTAGTGCTTAGCTATCGATGCACGAGATCCATTGTAAAAAGTTATCCATTATAGTAATTTTTTTGAAACAACAAAGTTAAACGACAATAAGTTTACAAAAAAAGGAACTCGAGAGGCCGGGCATTGGCGAAATGAAGTGATCTTTCAACTTCCTGATTGATGTGCCCGTCCTCCCATTATAAGGACACTTTGGCATCCTCCTTCCTTTTGGTTTGTTACGTTCACAGAGTTATTCGGTAACCAGTAACCTTATAAGTCGTTCGCACCAAGCATCTTGCTTTTAAACGAGCCGCTTGTTCGTACAAGTAACCATAATTTTTTTTGCCACACGTCTTTCATCGTGCTCTTTTCCACACCGCACAAGCGACCTGTGTTAGAAAGGCCGATTGTATCGCACGCGCGCAGATAGTCGAGTAGCACTAAGCGCCACACTATACATTCTTCTCATCTTGCTTACAACCTTGTCCAAGGGACATGATACACAACATTTGATGAAACCGAGAATTTTTTAAAAAACCTCACAAAGTCCCCTTAAACCTATTCCCCACAATGGTTGGAGAAAGGAAGCATCAAACTTCTCGTTCGTGAAAAGAAACTGAGCCAACCCTTCCGCTACCAAAAAGCGCTACTCGCTCGTACTCAAGTTTATGAAGCCAACATTCCACATATATAGCTTCAAACTACTCCATCGCTTTAACCGCAGCAACATCCGATCTAGACTCTCTGTTAATGCAATATCCTCCGACCTAGACTCTCTGGTAATGCAACATCGTCTGACCCAGCCGCACGAAGTCTCGAGTGGGTCGGGAGGATGTTTGGTTGTTTGGAGTTGAAAAGGAGTATAGTCGTACCAATTCATACTTAATAAGGTCTTTACGGCGGGTTGCACGTGTATTCCCTATTAAGTAAAGCGAATTGTACAAATCACTCTGTAAAAAAGAAAGATGCAACAAAAATCTTAGAACAAGGGCTTAATTCCAGCAGACCGTAGCAACAAGGATACTCTACTCCTTACAATGCCCCGTTCTTTATTTAAGTCGTCTGCAAAGGATTTAGCTCTGGAAAATTTAGATTTTGATCGCTGTTGTATTGCAGCCAGCTGTATTCGTCATCGATGCACGAGACAAGAGATCCATCGTTACAAGTTATCCATCACAGTACCTTTTTTTGAAAAAACAAAGTTAAACGACAATAGTTTATCAAAACGAAACTCGAGAGGCCATGCAATAGCGAAATGAAGTGATATTTCAACTTCCTGATCGATGTGCCCTTCCACCCATTTAAGAGGCTGTCTCTCTAAGAACCGACCAGTGGCTTTCAAGCAAAAAAATGATTTTCGCTTCTATTTTGCCCACGTGTTGTGTTTTCCTTAGCAACATTTTTGCCGGTTTTAGATTTTTTAAATTCTATTTTATTTTCGAGTTTTAGCTTATTATAACATCCATGCCGGCGTGAGTGAAATTCGAGACGAAGCGCCGCCCATAAATCCCTGGTAAATCTCTCGTCATATCTCGGGAAGTTTTGCATCAAATTCAACAATTCCTTCAGATATATAAACCAGAACTATTCTCTATTGAAAACCTCGTATCAATGTAAGAGTCAACAATAATTTTAAGTATATTTCTTCTTCTTTAGCGAACGTAGTAATTTGTCGTTTAATCCTTCGCCGCATAGTTCGTAATTATAATCGAAAATTTTTCGAAAGTGGCACCTATTTGGACTTTGAAATACATTTAGAGTGAAAAAGCACTCTTTGAAGTTAAATGATCGACAATAAAACTTGCCGGCAAAAGAAAATTGAATGAGAACAAAACGCTATAATACGAGCTATTTTTAGTTGGTTTGTTTACCTGTTCATGTGCGAAAGTCCCTTTGATGTTTACAGCAAGGCAGTTACAAGTCACATTGTAGCTTACAAACTTGTAATTTATAGTCAAAAACGAACAATTAATGTTGTTCTTTTGTGTTAGAAGTGATCCTGCTTCTTCTAGGCTCGTTTAATCCAGTAAATTGAATTTGAGTTGAAGTTAATAGCTCATGCCTGCTTGCGGCCAGTGTGACCAGGTTTTTTCAGGCCAAATTACCACATCCGGTTTCAAAAATTACTATTTTCGGTCTGAAATTACCACGGTGCTATATTTTCCCAATTTTACCATATTTTTTCGAAAAATTCCCCAAAAATGTTGGCGAGCGGGGGGGGGAGGTCGAAAAAAATTTTTCCGGACAAAAATTTTTCCGGACAAGTCCCTCGGAAATTAGGGTGAAAAAAATTTTTCCGGAAAAATTATAATTAAAACAAGGCCAAAACCGGTTTATTTCGCCTAAAACAAGGCCAAAACCAGTTTTTTTTCACAAAATTTGTAACATTTAGGGGTTTTTCACCAAAATCTGTACATTTAAGGTCAGGAAATTTCAAATTACCACAATCGGCCGAAATTTGACGAAAAATTACCACGGTTGTTCTGAAATTACCGTAGTAATTACCACAAATTTCCAATTACCACAATTGCCCAAAAATGACGAAAAATTACCACGGTAGTAATGAAATTACCACGTCTGGTCACACTGCTTGCGGCGACAAACAGACGTTATTAAATAAAAGTTAATATTTAATAACTAAACACACCGGACGCGATTCCACAACGCGATGCGATTTTTTAGTTTTTGAAAGTTAATAAAACAGCCAATGAGAGCAAATTTCGAAAGATATGTAGAGCAAATAACTCAAAATGTTATACCGTTTCTAAATATTTGGAAAATTTAAAATTAAACTAGAACCAAAGTTATCGGTCCGTGAAAATCGAAAAATCGCGTCGCCTTGTCGAATCGCGTCCTGTTTGTTTGGACCTTAATGTGCGTAAAACTCTTCACTGATGTTTTTGCCAGAAAATAAACATCTCTACCAATATTAAATCGGCTGCAGTCTTGTGGTAATTCTTGTGGTTTTATGTACATAGTGGCAGGCTACAACATGGGCATTTATCCAACATGTTTGAGATAGTATTGATTAGAACTTGCTTTTTGTCTTTCGACTTGAATCCGAGCTCAAAATGTGAGCAAATTTCCTTTAGCATCGGAACCTTAAATCCCGAAAGTTTGTCTTGTTTGTGCAATTCACACAAGTCGTACGCATCGTAGTAGATCGGGTGGGCCACGTTCAATTCATTACTGATCAAATTCAGCAAATACGCTCATTTTTCATTTTCTTCTGCATCGTCAGTATCGCTTTCATAGTTATCGACCTCAATTTCTTCCTCAATATCTGTGCTTATCACACCTTTGCGTCGCTTTATAGCCAGCCTCGAGAAAAAACCTTTGATCTTCTCTTTGTTGAGCCACTCGGCTGCCTTGAATAATTTTTCTCCCCCTTCATCCTTTGCACATCTCATATCTTTAGCCACCTGCGCTGGGTCTGATTTATGACCTGTTCGCTCACCATAATCAAATTTCGCAGTCAAATACTTGCAGACATCTGGAGAAAAACGCGCAGAGCCAGTTTTCGGTTTACTGAGAGCCCATCCCATCCTTGAAGAGGATTCTCTGCATTCTAAAGTTTGATGTTGTTTCGGTCCCTGGCCCTGAACATTTCTTGAGCTTAACGTTGTGAATTGTTTTTCCCACTCTCTTTTTAACGCATCATACACGCTCTCGCTGTTGATAAAGCGACTATGTTGGCCCAGGTCCATGTGAAGCTCTAAGCTCTGAATTGTTTCAAACATGTGGTTGCAACCAGGCTCAGCACAATCAAACAAACCAGCACTGTCTGCGTTTGAATTATCATCATGGTTTTCATTTCTTTTCAGTTTCGTTTGCCTAGTCTGCTGTACAGCAGGAAAGTTGACTGACACTTCTGTACTCTTTTGTCGGCTAATGTAGATATCTTTATCCAATAGTTTCTTTCCCTTTCCAATGCCATGTGCTTTCCACACCCTTATCCCTGCTTCTTTATACTGGAAATTGTGATAACTGCTGAAGTCCTTAATTTTCTTTACACTGAGCTGCTCAGCAGAGGCTTTGACTTCATTGACTGATGATGTTGTTCCTTTAACTGGACGGCAATTCAGTGCAGTATGCATGTCTTGAGCTGTAAGGATATCATTTCCTTCATTGCAGTATCGGCGAATTGATGACTTCAGGGGGCAGATGATCTTATCACAAATATCCTTACCTTGTTGAGGTTCTGAGAAATCATAGCTTTGGACACAAATTCCAACGCGATCTCCAATATCTTTCAAAGATGCTACCAGAAGGTTGTTGTGGTAACATCCTGCCTCATCAGAACGAATGTAAGCTTTGCTGATATTTGCCATGCTGGACTTGATAGTTGATAGCAGGTTTTCGAGAATTGATGCAACGGCAAACCAGTCTTGAGTGGTGGAATCGAATAAATGAACATATGATGTAACCACCGAGGATACGCCCTTCGATACGACGCTGCTTACATGCCAACATATCCCACGTTTGCCATACCAGTCAGATTGTTTTTCTCGAAAACGTATCTGCTGAAACTTCATGGCCCAGTCAATAACAATTAACACTGATGTTTCGTCCAGGCTTTCCAGTATTTCCTTCTTTGCATTTTCCTGATTTATCGAACGGAGAATATGGGCCTTCCATTTGCTGATTCTGTCTTTAGCTTCTTCAAAGTCGTGGATGAGCTCTTCTTTTATATCTTGAGTATATGAAAAATGTGTGTTGCTTTTCAGCTTGTTTTCTAGTTCCTGTAAAGTAGATTTGAGGTTCTCACAGTTATCACAAACCAGCGTATGTTCGTGTGCACACTTTACTTGAAAAGCTTCATCTCCTGGATCACTTAACGCAAACATTGTACAGTGATCAGCACATAAACTATCATCCTCTTGGCAATGTACCTTATAATCTGTTTTGAGGTATTCTTTTGCTTTATGTAACCTTTTGATACTTTTTTCACAGACTGTGACCATTGGATATCAATTCCTAGATGAACTAGACGTTCAGAGATTTGTTCCATAGTGTTAAACCCATTCGATCCATCAGCAGCGGTATTATCCAAGCCTTGTAAAGATTTTCGCTGTGAGGCTTCTCTAACTTCCAGGATACGAAATAATGTGGTTCTGCTAAGTGGCTCGAATTCTTCTTCCTTACAAAACTGCAGATATTGCGCAACCATTGTGCACTTGGTAACTGTGCGAATAATATTTGGCATCTCAATAGTTTCACCACTTTCAAGTTTTAGTGTTCTGGTGCCGAAAGCGACATCTTGATGGTCGGTTGGCAAAGTCGATGAAGTGATCTACTTTGCCCATATCTAGGCTTACTCGATGGTATCGGGTTTTTTCCATCTCCATACCTGGACCGTTGTTTCTAGCATGAGCACGAGCTCTCTTAATCTGCCATTTGCTAAGCCGACCATAAGGCTCATGTAATGTTTGCAGTTTCTGTGCGGGCAATTGACCATTTGCGTAATAGACTAAATTTTGAACTAAACAAGTCTAGACAAATATTCCATCACAGCTTGAAGGAGCATCACAAAATTAGTAATATTCCAAAGTTTCGTTGCAAAATGTTGTAAAATGCGGAAAATATAGCCTTGCGAAATTTGCAATTTTCAGTCATTTTAGATTACAAATGGGAAATTGACAGCCCCAAACCCTTCGAGGCTGTCAATTTCCGGTTTGTAATCTAAAATGACTGAAAATTGCAAATTTCGCAAGACTATATTTTCCGCATTTTACAACATTTTGCAACGAAACTTTGGAATATTACTAATTTTGTGATGCTCTGTCAAGCTGTAATGAAATTTTTGTTGAGATCAAAATTTAGTCTATTACGCAAGTGGTCAATTCGTAAGCATATAAGCTCAGAATCTGGATCTTCAGACTTCTTGATGGTGCTTGTGCGTAGGCTGTCATCAACGGGACAAGACTTTTTCCCTGATCTATTTGCTGCAACGCCTCAAAAAGCTTTTCTCCGTCATTTGGGGCAATAATTTTGCAAATACGTTTGCAGGCATCAGTAGCCCGTGTTATGCACTCGTCCTTTTCTTTAGGGGTTGCAGAATCTAGATCACCATCGAGCTGGAAAGTCAATTTTGGTGGCGCTTGAGTTCCGGCCAGCTGAGATATATTTTCCATAGCCTGATTGTATTGATCTAAAACTGAAGTACCTGCAGCAACATCGCATTCCTCTTGATCACTGTCAGTGTCACTCAGATAGGCACTTGCACAACCTGGTGTCCATGTGTCTGTACGCTGGAGCCCATATTCTGAAGAACATGATGGGGTACTGAAGAGGCTCATTTCAAACATTTGATCAGTCCTTGATGCTGTTGATTGTCTAAAAGTGAAAAACTACAAAGCTTACTACTTTGTGAATTTTCAAATCAAAATTATTTTCATTTGAATTATTAATTAAAGTACTATTTCCAAAAATTACCGACCTGCTATTGTCATCTGAATGCGTGCTTTGGAGGCTTTCACTCGTTGTTTGCTGTTGCTTCAACCAAACGCCCTCTTTCGTCATCCTTTCTTTGTGCAATTCCCGACACTGCCTACATATGGCTAAAGAGAATTATTAAATTTATCCATTTAACGTTAATTTTTGTTTAAAAGTTTTATGGTTGCTTGTTTTTGATAAATGTGAAAAACTTGTACTATCAAACATTTTGGTATATTTTTCACGATAATGGATACCTGGTGAGGTAAGCAAGCCTAGTGAATTAATTTTGATCTAGTCCTAGGACTGAACAGTGGAAAAATGCATTAATTTTGTATGAGTATGAGATGTCATTTCAAAACATCAGATTCGGTCTAGATCCGATTTCAAGTTCTCACTCCTCGTTGTCAGTTCCAGTCTTCGGCCCCGCCTCAGCGTGGAACTACGGTAGCTGCTTGGACTTGAAATCCGTTCCAGTCCTCGTTTTTGGATTTGAAATATTACCGTAAAGAAATGGCAGGGCTTGACGTATCCCCCTGGATCATTGAGGAAAACTAACAGTACAGTACTTAATTCATTGAGGAAGTATAATTGTTTTAAAATACAATTAATAACTTACGTGACCCTATTTGCACAAGTTTTCCATAAAGCGTGAAAGCAGCTTCCGACAATGCCATGTTGAAGACGTCTTTCCCTGGGCACTTTCGAACTGGACCTGAATGAAGCGGGTATTGACATGATCTCAGCGGTCTCCAAAATCTCCCCAAACTGTTACGATGACTTGGGCATATGGCTATATTACGTAGATGTTCTTCTGTGGGGTGCAAAATTCCCGCTCTTGCTGCAATAACTTCGCATTCCACCATTTTAGCTTTCGAGAGATGACAACTAGAAAGATGGTTTCTTATATTTTCCTGACAATCACCAAGAGTAACAATCTCTTTTACCCTTCTATTTTCACCGCAACAAATCCCCCCTACGCCAATAAACGAACAATTCTTTGTATTCATGTTTCAAGAATATTACCGAACTGTATATGTCTTTACAAGTCAGGAAGTGCTCACATCCAGCAATAAATGTTGAGTCACGTGCACAGGTGTGAGGAATTGTGATGAGGGAAATAGGACGTGCCTGTATTTGTGCGCGCACATATTTTCATATTTTTCAGAAAATGGGAAAATAGTTTATGTGGTTTGATCTAAAATAGTTTTCTTTTTTATTCCTCCTTTTATTTTACTATAGCCAACAAGCAATTTAGTTATCTACACCGTCCACCCCCCCCCCCCGCCTCCCACCCTGCCTGCAGCCGTTGTTAAACGGGAACAAAATAAACATGAGAACGCGCTTATTAATTAAATAATAGACAAAACAATTAAATAACAGACAAAATAATTAAAGAATATAGATGTAATCAACATGTTGGACTGCCTTTGTCTAAATAAATTACAATACAAGAATGATCACAAGTTTGCTGGCGCTGTCAAACCAAAATTATGTGAAACACGCCTCAGTGAGAGATTTTCGCCAACGTTTGCCTTCGTATATATTGGTAGTGAGTTTCAAACGTTTTTTCTCTCCAGTGGCGTGCTGGCAGGGGGGGGGGCGGGGGGCCACGCCCCCCCCCCCAGCTGGCAATTCTTGGTGGGCGCAAAAATGAAAATGGGGCGCCGAATTTTGAAAGTAGGTGGGAAAAAACGCATTCTCAAAAAAATATGGTTACTTTTGCCAAGAAAAGGCGTGTTTATAGGCTACAGTATAAAACAAACTAAGCGCATAGGCGACATATATTAAATTACAGACTATTTTGCCTAACCGTATTTGCTACCTCACAGCTCACACGAAATCGTTCATATAGAAACATGATCAGTGATCACAGGCAATGTCTCATTACCAGAATATTGGTCTCTCCCTATGTAAAGGAATCCGGATTCCGGAATCCAACAAAAATTTGCACTTCAGAATCCGGAATCTATGACGTAGAATCCGGAATCCATTAACTCGGATCCGGAATCCATTATTTTAATCATGGAATACGGAATCCAGCTTTCATACTTTATAAAATATAATGGTTTTGTAGCGTGACACATCAAACCCTCTGCATCAATCCTTAACGTACGTGATCTCATTAAATTCATGCAATACAAGTATCCCCATCTCATAAAATTTACATGTTGTTAATGAGAACAAACAAACTAACTCTGAATTATGCACTTGGGCGCAACAGAAGCGCGCAAATTTGTTGACTACCTCGCCGAAATAATTGAATCTTTAGTCGAATTACTGGTGCGTTGGAAACACTGATCGTTTTTGACTGTTTTTGCCAAGATATTGAGTCAAATTGAAACATACTTATTAAATATTATTCAAGGAAAAAGTTAGGAATGGGAAAAAAGCACAAGAAACAAAGTAGAGAGAAAAGTGATGACCGGAATAGACGACTATTGAGGGTGGGAAAGGGTTATTTTCGTGAGTCATGAATGGTCAATATTTGTTCGTGCGAAATGCTTGACTTTAGTGTCGTGAAATGTGATTTGTTCTATGGCCGTGAGGCGTTATTGTCGATAAAAATGCTCCGTGAAATGAGAATTAAGGATGTCTGTTTTGTGAACTGTGATTTTACTTTGTTTATTTCAATCTATTTTATAAAAGTCATAATAGACATAATATGCGATAATAATTGATATGATCGATGTCACTCGATTGCATTGCACAAGAGAAAAAATTTCTCAGGCCTTTTGGAGGTCGTCGCACGTACACGTCACTGAAGCATGTAAGTTATAATGCAGTTTTTAACTGCCAGGCAGAGAAGTGAGATAACTTAAAGCGTAGATGCTGTACCATGCATTAAGCATACTATTAATAAACCTAAGTATTATAATTATATTATTTTTATTAGAATTTCCGTGAAATGTGAAATTGCTTTTTTAAAATTAAGATACGTGAATTGGTAAAACGGCTTTTGTTTTCATTGTAAAACGTGACCCATACCCCCCATTTCCCACCCTCGGTATCGTCCCTTTTATATCCCTTTGAGATTTAAATATCATAAATATTTAGCGTTGCCGTTGTTCAATTCTCAGATATAATTTAATAGTACATATAGTGAAATATAAATAATAACCGATCGTTGTTATTTTTCATCTTTAATATGAAGCTATAGAGGTGAATTATAAACTTTAGGAGTGCTGACATATGGAAATGCATATTTAAACATGTAGAATACTAGAATTATTAAAAAGCCTGCAAAAAGAGTGTACTCAGTACCAAGGCGTTTCAAAAGTGCTTGTTATGGATAAGGATCTCGAAGGATCATTGTCATTTCAGCAGTAGGGCTGATTCCACTCCAACAAGAAATGGCTAAATACGCAAATAATAATTAGGCTTGATTAAAAGGCAAAACAGTAGAAGTTACTCATAATAAACAACGACCACCTGAGAATTGAACAGGAAGTTGTTGCCTTCTTTGCTAATCTAGAGGACGAAGCTAGAGTTAGGACGGGGAAGTTAAATACAAACGGCCCAGACATGGTTATACCGCGAACAACGAGACGATCTTTTGAAATTGTCTTAGACTCCCTCACCGGTCTACTAAACACGCTGATGGAGATTAATCATGAGGAATTGGCCAACAAGATTCGCTTCAAAAGCCTGAGAACATTAAGCGTAGAGACTTTCTTCAAAGGTATACGTTGCAGAATACGCACGCGAGCAGTGTTGAAGTTATCATGCTTTGGATTTACCGGAGAAACACTTCAGCTACTTCACTGGCCCATATTCGTTTTATCCCAAGAAGATTATTAACGAAGAACCACCAAATTTGTCTGGCAGGACCAGCAGACAATGTTCCACACAAAAAGGAAGTGGGGATGCCAAAGAAGACAAACGAGAAGAAGCAGAGTGATGAAAATTTTTATCCAAGAAAATGGAAGAGAAGTTCGACAAACAAATGTCCGCTCAAAGACTAAAGAATTAACAGACAGGTACCTTGTCGTGCACCCTGAGTATGCATCCGTAAGTCATCTCAATTCCATCAGACATACCCAATGTAACAACTGCGTGTTTTGTTGCCGTTGGTGCACATGGAGGACAACGCACAGACAACAACATGATGTAATTGCAGTTAGCATAATCGTAGGAGAGAATTGTCCCCCTATTGACTTGCCGTACTGATGCAAAATATTTATGTCGAATTGGCTACTAGAAAATACATGAGCATGAACTGCATCTTACCAAAGGTGGACAATTTCTTACTTGAAGACAGTTGAAATGTTATTTTGTCTCCCAATGAAGCCATCCGGTTGAGTAGGCTTGCTAACGGGGATGATAAAAGTGAAGATGAAGAAGAGGAGGAGCAGGAAAGAGTATCTGCTGAAACACAAGAAACAGGACCATTAATTAAGACTTGAAGGAATGAGCTCGTTAGGAAGAAGGACTAGTCGTTTTATACTGCGTTAGGTAACAGAACTTACCAAATGATGAATAATGCTTCGTAATATTGACATTTAGTGTTTCTTGTTATTATGTTGATGTAATAAGCTTTAATATCATGTTTTGTTTTTTAAAAGTATTTAAAGGTTACTGGTGTACATGTATAAGACTACTGCATGCATGTTTACAGCAGTCTTTAGCAGTTTTAGGTCCTCTAATCTTACAAAATATAATAAAGCCTTATTTTGACCGGATGTTATACAGGTTAGTTATTGAAATCTTTATAAAAAGTAACTATTAGTCAAGGAATCCACTGACTATTATTAAGAAGGAATCCGGAATCCGCGGGTCAGGATCCGGAATCCACGGATCAGGATCCGGAATCCACGAGCCAGGATCCGGAATCCGACACCATCTTGGATTCCTTTACATAGGGCGAATTGGTCAGGTTTCGATCGAAGCGATCACGGGAATTATGCCCTTTTTTGCTGGTATTATGCCATTATATTATGCCCTTTATTATGCTTCACGAATTACGAGAGCGGCGCAAATTAGATAGTTGAAGTTATGATAACTGATGTAAAGTTGTGTACGCAATTTAGTTGTTTGCACAAGAAGCATGAGTAATGTAAGTAATGAAATAATGCTGAAACATGCCCTTTTGGCAGCCAGGCAAGGAAAACTTAACTATGCATATGCGTGGGGTGCATGTGTTATTGTATAAAAGAGCTGTAAGTTGTAAATGTGCGCAGAACAGTAGATCAGTAGAGAACAGAATTGGGATTAGATTAATCGCTGGAAGTAGTTAGCATTGCATAATTTAAGTACTACTACTAAGTTCTGACCAAATTGCAAATTTCGACACGTTACAATGCCGTTTCCTGACCATCAGATTTCTGTCAAATCTTTCCCCAAAGTCCAGGAAATGGCATTTCAGAGACTCTAAATTCAAACATTTTCCTGGGGGGCATGCCCCCGGACCCCCCTAGACAAACCTCGCACCTGCGGCACTCGGCTTGTGCCTTCGGCCCTCGTTTATCAAGTGTAACATTATAGGGGCGCATATTGGTTGACAGCCCACTGGCCCCTCCAGAAAAATAGTACCCAGCACGCCACTGTTTCTCTCGCAGAAAAACTTCAGTGAAGAGTTAGTTACGCATTGAACATTACTCATTAGTAGTTATTAAATATTAAGTTTTTAATGTCTTTAATAACGTCTGTCTGTCGCCGCAAGCAAGCTAATTATAGCTGTTAACTTCAACTCAAATTCCAGTTTGCTGGATCAAACGTGCCCGCAGAAGAGGTAGGACGGCTTCTAACACAAAAGAACAACATTAATTGTTCGTTTTTGACTACAAATTACAAGTTTGTAAGCTACAATGTGACTTGTAACTGCCTTGCTGTAAACATCAAAGGGACTTCCGCACATGAACAGGTAAACAAACCAACTAAAAATAGCTCGTATTATAGCGTTTTGTTCTCATCTAATTTTCTTTTGCCGGCAAGTTTTATTGTCGTTCATTTAACTTCAAGGAGTGCTTTTTCACTCTAAATGTATTTCAAAGTCCAGATAGGTGCCACTTTCGAAAAATTTTCGATTATAATTACGGACTATGGGGCGAAGGATTAAACGACAAAATACTACGTTCGCTAACGAAGAAGAAATATACTTAAAATTGTTTTTGACTCTTACATTGATACGAGGTTTTCAATAGAGAATAGTTCTGATTTATATTTCTGAAAGAATTGTTGAATTTGATGCAAAACTTCCCGAGATATGACGAGAGATTTACCAGGGATTTATGGGCGGCGCTTCGTCTCGAATTTCACTCACGCCGGCATGGATGTTATAATAAGCTAAAACTCGAAAATAAAATAGAATTTAAAAATTCTAAAACCGGCAAAAATGTTGCTAAGGAAACACAACACGTGGGCAAAATAGAAGCGAAAATCATTTTCTTGCTTGAAAGCCACTGGTCGGTTCTTAGAGAGACAGCCTCTTAAGGACGCCGTGACATGCACCTCCCTTTTTGGTTTGTTGCGTTCACAGAGTTATTCGGTGACAAGCATATGACACCAACAGGATCAACCAGTTAACTACAAGTCGTTCGCACCAAGCGTCTAGCTTTTAGACGGCTCGCTTATTCGTCTGATCGTACAAGTAACTATAATTTTTTGCCACGTCTTTCATCGTAGTCTTTTTCCAGACAACACAACGGACCCGTGTTGGAATGGCCGATTGTATCGCACGCAACATATTACATTCCTCACATCTTGCTTATAGAACCTTGTCCACGGGACATGATACACAACACTCGATGAAACCGAGATTTTTTTAAAAACCTCACAAAGGCCCCTTAAAAAACCTATTCGCCCAATGGTGGCAAGGGAAGCATCAAACTTCTCGTTCATGAAAAAAAAACTGAGCCAACCCTTCCCTCGCCACGTTGAGCAAAAAGCGTTACTAACTCGCGGTACTCAACTTTATGTAGCCAACGTTCCACATATATAGTTTCAAACTACTCCATCGCTTTAACCCCCGCAACATCTTCCTGCCTAGATTCTCTAGTAATGCAACAGTCTTAGTATGATAGTGAAAATCAATCAGAAAAAGCTCGATGATATAATAATTACACTTCAGGTAAATCTTTAACATTGAACTTCAAATTTCAGGTAAAATCTCCCCACCCCCAACGTCAGATGCTTCGGTACGTCTCTGGTGGCAACAAGGCTACCGTTTACAATACCACGGTCTTTATTTAAGTCGTCTGCAAAGGATTTCGCTCTGCGAAATTTGGATTTTGGTCGTTGAAGTGCTTAGTTGCATAGTCTGCTCTATGGGCACGGTGCAGATGACACAGGAGGCACGACGAGTTGCGCCACTATTCTTGTCTTACCAATTTAAAGTTTGAGAATAGCTTAATAAGGTCGTTTCGACCCTATAAGATCTCTTATCATTCGCTTTCCTGATAAAACTGCATGTATGAACTCCAGCTATCTTGAGTGAAACGTCGGAGGGAACCAGGTACTAGATGGTTCGATAGGTCTTACAGCGATCAAAATGTTCCAGAGCTGAATCCTTTGCGTCCCCTTTGGACATATCTTTTTCGTAACAGTATTATTGAATTGGGGCGTGACGCGAAATTAACCCATTTACAGGCAGTACTTTACTGGCAGTGCAATTGTCTTTTCAGTAAATACTAAAGTAGACCATTTACTGACAGTACTCTACCACTGACAAGTAAAATCGTCTGACGGTTTACGACTTGTATTCTTGTCTATTGCACCATAGCACGTATGTCGTCATTTTCAGGTCAGTGTGAACGCCTGAGCAGGCGTTTTGTTATGTATGATTTGTACGAATGTACTCCTTTTCAACTCGAAACTACCAGACATCTTCCTTACTCGCTCGAGACATGGAACGCCCATAGTTAATAGGATAGATGGTTTGGAAACTCATTAGAATTGTCGCTTGTAACATAGGCAGCCCAAAACGGCGTGTAGAATGCACCAATAATGCTTCCAAATGTCAATTTGCATTAAGCTCGACCCATTCCTTTGTCATTAGTCGCGCGCGCCGCAAGCACTCAATTTGAAAAGCAGTGTTGATATATATAGATTATACCTAAGGTTGGCAACTATATCTCAACTGACGAATATACCACTTCGGCAGAACGCAAAATACTTCGTATACGTAAATAAAACATGATAAAAAATTATACCACATTGAACTCTGATATTTTTTCTACATACCCGCATATAAATTTTGTTTTCAAGACTGCAAGAAAGATGAAAAATTTGTACAAACGTTTCATGGTCTGATGAAAATTTTGATGTGACTATGCGGGATGCCAAAGGTTATTTCATTCGTCATATTTTTAAAAAAATTATGTGATTCAATTGGTTGAAAAAATAAACAGTTTGTGACGTATTTATAGTAAAAATTTGGTTTCAGGGGGGTTGAACTACAACAGGAAGACTGCTAAAATACAAGAGCGATCTTTTTTCAAAGATGAAATGGTGGATTTTAAAAACTTTTTACATCCATCCATAACTTTTATCTACAGCAAAACAACCAGGTAACTTTTGGCTACATGTACACGAAATGTCATGAAATTCTGAGCAATAATGGCGAAGAAAATGTGCTATAAAAAAGACAGCGATATGTAATGCGAGCACGCTTCGTTGTGAGTTGTGAACCTTGCTCGACAAAGTGTATATAGGCAGTGAATTTAGTTATAGCGTTTTAATTTAACTTGGTTCAATAAGTTGGATAAATTTTTCCGTTTAATATTGAGTGAATGTATTCACAAAATAGGCTGCAATTTGTAAGAGTGCTAGCATTATTTTATACCCCAGCATGGAATTTTGCATTTATATATAAACAACCTTGTATCAAAGTTCTGAAAGTTTAATTAATATGTATTCTATAATAAATGCCTGAACATCTCCCTAGTTTAAACTTTAAAGTACACGTTAGTTAACAAAAACTAGTGACTGTATCTATTACTGTGAATACGTACTGTCTTTCACACTGATGATAAATAAAACAGGCCAAAATGCAAATTTGTTTTCATATGAAACAGTTTTATAGTGATATAAAAACAGTTTTACAGAATTCACTTCGAAATATTCTTGCTATATAGCTATTTAAAATTATAACTACTGTAGAGATCCAGTATTTAATACTGAACACTTGATTACTAGGAAAAATAAATGATCCAACCTATTGTTCCGAGTTACAGTATTAAAAACGCTATAAAATAATTCATACCTATAACTTTTCCGAGCTTCACAACGAAGCGTGCTCGCATTACATATCGCCGTCTTTTTTATAGCACATTTTCTTCGCCATTTATATTGCTCAGAATTTCATGACATTTCGTGTACATGTAGCCAAAAGTTACCTGGTTGTTTTGCTGTAGATAAAAGTTATGGATGGATGTAAAAAGTTTTTTAAATCCACCATTTCATCTTCGAAAAAAAATCGCTCTTGTATTTTAGCAGTCTTCCTGTTGTGGTTCAACCCCCCTGAAACCAAATTTTTACTATAAATACGTCACAAACTGTTTATTTTTTCAACCAATTGAATCACATAATTTTTTTAAAAATATGACGAATGAAATAACCTCTGGCATCCCGCATAGTCACATCAAAATTTTCATCAGACCATGAAACGTTTGTGCAAATTTTTCATCTTTCTTGCAGTCTTGAAAACAAAGTTTATATGCGGGTATGTAGAAAAAATATCAGAGTTCAATGTGGTATAATTTTTTATCATGTTTTATTTACGTACACGACTGTATTTGGCGTTTTGCCGAAGTGGTATATTCGTCAGTTGAGATATAGTTGCCAACCTTAGGTATAATCTATATATATCAACACAACAGCTGGGCATTTTGTACGGAGCATGCGCGAAAAAATCAATATGGCGACATATTTATAGGAGTGCTTCGTGGATTTATCTGGTTTTAAAGCTGATAAAACAACATTTCAATGAATAAAAACTTTGTAATATTTAGTGGAAAACATTAAGCTATGCAGTCCAAAGGTTTTAAATTAAAAATAAGTACTTTTGCTTTATTTTATTGCTTTTTATGCTTTCAAAATAGGCAAGCTCATTTTTTTTGAAAGAATCTAAACTAATATTTTATCCATCATTTGTTTAATCTGAACAGAAATTGATAGAACACTTGGCTACATAAGTTATAAAGGGAATTGGTAGCTGATCTGAAAGATTTCAGTATTCCTGGTACACATTTTAGCAAAGAATGACTGTAATTTTAAAAATTAAATATGCATATCAAAAACAATAGTTTTTATTAGAACAACACATAATAAGTTGTTATTTTCTATTTTTACAAAAACAAGTTTGGAAACAGAATCTAGTCGTCCAGTTTGATGTCATATTTCATTTATTTGGATATTTGAATAAATGAATGTGAAATAATAATTGAAACTTGTCCAAAATTTGATACCAACACTCAAGTGAACAGATACTATCACCTAAAAATAAAAGAAAACAGAACTTAAATTTGTCATATAATGCTATGAAAAAGTCTTAGATACTACAGACATATAGTGAGCACAATGCTTTAACAAACTCACTAAAATAAGTTAAGTTATGCTATGATAAGAGGATGGCAATATATGACAGCATCAAATGTTACCATCTTCAGTGTCCAAAAAAAGTGCCGCGCGCATTTTTCCCAGCATACCCACTAACTTTTCCATGAAGGTTGACTAATAAGGATAATTTTAAGCCATATTTCGGAGAGAGGCAATGGTAAAAATTTTAAGATATTTTTATTTATATGCCATATCACCACAGAATTTCACAAAGCAAGCATGCCTATATTCAGGATTGCCGTTAGACTCTTAAAACTGAACAAATCAATGCGGCATTTCTTATCTCATAACAACCAATACTTGAACATTTTCAAAATCATTTTTGCAGCAATTTTTACTTTATAACAAACTAATACAGGAGCAATTTCATAAGCATGTGACAACATGACATTTCCACTTCACAAGTGGATTTGTCAATTACAACATCTAGCACATTTTTCTCATGAATACCTTAGGTTTTAATAAAACAAAGTATCATTTAACTTTCATAAAATATATGTTCTAACTGAAGGCAACGGCCAGTTTTTACGAAATTGCAAGAGGAATATGTGTCATTTTCATCAAAATATGTATTTTAAGACACTTATTATTCCAGATGAGGAAGAACAAACAAATTATTGAACATACCTGTGGAAACAACAACAACTCAGCTTCTATCAAGAGTAAAATATGAACACTTCCTTGTTTCCATACTGCTGTACCCTGCTTCTGAAACTCTGACAATGAGTGAAACATTTCCACTTGTCGCCCATTTGTAAATAAAAATTCTTCTCACGTTTTCATGCGATTAAGTCGTTATATCGTTGCGTACAAGCACTACAACTTAATCTTTCAAGAAACACTTTATTTGCCATGAACAAACCAGTAAAAGAGGACAAAAAATCCTCTCACAATGCATATTTTCAGCGTTCGAAGAATCAAAATGTTTGTTAAAGAAATGCGCCCGCAATATTTAGACAGCGACAACAGAATGCCCAGCTGTTTATCAACACTGCTTTTCAAATTGAGTGCCTGCGGCGCGCGACAAATGACAAAGGAATGCGGCGAGCTTAATGCAAATTGACATTTGGCAATCTCGTTCCCCGAGCCTGCGATCCTTGGGAAGGAAACGAAGGCTCTGGGATAATCCATGTCAGAAATGAATATGATTGGTTGCTGGTATACAATGGAATGTTGCAATTTTGCAAAAATTAATTTTTAACCGTATATTTTTAGATACAACATGGCGGCCGTTTAGGAGTGTACGAATATTGTTTTGGTGTTTCAGAGCTGTGCTATATACTAATACTACAAAGGAAATGCAAAGAAACGTATACTTAATGTGTATAATATCACAACAGTTATTAAATGGAGCGTGAAAACTTTACTCATATTTGTGTTGTACAGGTTTTCTGTAGTTTTAGTCTATACATAGTATACAGTACTGTCAGTACACTGTACTATTTGACTATAATATCAAATATGTGCTATATTTTGCAAATACTATTTGTGTCAGAAATGGTTAATAACTTTTATTAATTTGTCTTTGTGTTATTTAATTGCGAAGAACTAGCTAATGACTAGTTTCAATAAATCCAATCTTGGGATTTTAATACTGTTATATATTTTATTATTTAATGTATATACTGTACTGTAAACTTTTCAAGTGCAGGAGTATGTAATACTCATTTTAACTTGTAGCATGTAACCTTTCCCTATATGGGTACATGCATATGAATCTTTTGTTGTTATAATTTATTTATAGAAGTGTTCAAAAAACCTTTATTCCCTAAATAAACCACAATTTCGCAGGCAGTGATATTAACTTGTATTCCAGTCTGCATACACCTAATACATACAATGAATTCTGGGGTTTCACTAGGCATTTTGCACGTTCTGAC